TCGTTTTGTTGAGAAGACCTCTGTCGCGTCTTTTCCGCCCCCCCCCTTCCCCCAGTGGGAGGGCAGAAGCGCGGAGACAATCGTCCGAGCTATCACAGTAGTCGGGAAAGGTTCGAATCCTGCAGACGAAAAAAACCTTACAATTGCCCCCCCCCCCCCCCCCCCCCGCGCGCGCCAGTTGGCCAAAGCCGACGCCAGGGCCGTACGGGCGGCGGGCCAGAGGCAGAACGAGGACGCGGCGGCGGCGACGGCGGCGGAGGCCGAGGCGGCCTGGGCGGCTGCCGGGGTGGGTAGCGGCGGCAGCGTCGGTGACAACGCCATGCTGTTCCTCGAGTGCGAGGTGAACGGGAGGGTGCTCCGCGCATTCGTGGATACCGGCGCTCAGGTAGGAGGGGTGGGGGTTCTCTCATGTGTTGCGTGCCTTAGCGGTTGGGCCAGTGATCATGCGTCCTCGAGCTTTGTTCCCACCGGACCGATCACAGAGGCCAGTCGTTTCTTCTTTGCAAACGGTGGCTCAAAAAAGTGATTTCCCTAACCTATCGATATCACTTCCAGCCTTTCAGCCCATTTGACGCCGCGGTGTGTGACGGTGCGCTTGTTATTGAATATCGGCCCCGTGGGCTACATCCGAGTTGCAAACCTTCAGAGGCAGGCTGGCGGCGCTGTTGTGTAAAATATTCGCGGGGGATTGTTTGCGGTTGCACGGAATTTGGGATGTTTGAGGATTTCGATTTCCTCTACCTCAGCAGGTGTAGCCGGTCCTCTTTGACCAAGCAATCCGCAGCGGACCCTCCCATCGATTTTTTTATATCGCAGCAAATCCTTTCATATCTTCCCACCTGGCTTGATCTTTACAGCGAAAGTCCCGAACAGATTTCGCTGCTGCCACTCAAGATCAAGGGAGGGTTGCTCAAGATTGTACATACTCGACTGATATTTGTCAAACACGCAGGTTGCAATGTTGGATTCTGATTTCCTGAAGCGTTTGCTTGGCCTTTGTCCGATCATACCTTCCCCCCCCCCCCGATCTACCGCCTGCCCCCCTCCCCCGAAACCTCGCGCTCGTGCATGGTGAAAAGGTCACCGTGATGTCAGCGGCATGCGCCGAGCGGTGCGGGCTCGCGTCGCGAATCGACAAGAGTTACGCCGGCCGGGCTGTGGGCGTCGGGTTCGCGAGGATACTGGGACGAATCCACGACGCCAGCATTCGGTGGGTCCTTGGTATCCGTGGATTTTGTGGGTGTGTTTGTCCGTATCTGTGTTGCCATGTTTTTTCTTGTGATTTTGTCCGGGTGGTTTGTCTCGGGTGGTGTATTTGGGTGTATCTGTCTTGTCATGTTTTTCGTTGTGTTTCGTCTATTTTTGTGTTCTGTCTGGTGTGTGTATTTGTCTGTGTCTGTCTTGTCGTGGTGTATTTATGTTGTGGTTCGTCTAGTTGGTGGTCTGTCTGGTGTGTGAACTTGTCCGTGTCTGTTTGGTCATGGAATTTTTGTTGTGATTTGTGGTGGTGGCTTGTCTCGGTGCGTGTGGGTTTGGGTGTTCCTTCGCTGGCTTGTGACGATTTTTCATTTTGGTGATTTATCTTGGGTGGCGCGTGTTGGTTTGTGTATTTCTGTAACTGTTAGCTTTGTGTCGATGTATTTGGGCAATTTTCGTGCGGTCTCTGGTTGCCATGATTTCATTCTTGTGGCGCTTTCCGCTCGGGGTGTTACAGAGGAAGTCTTCGCCGCAGCAGCACACGGCGGTGTAGAGTTGGTCAGCCTCGCCGCCATGGTCGCTTTCCTTCGAATGCCGAAAGCTGCATGCTTCCCGCCCCCCACCCCCCGCATCTCGGAGTGGCGATGAAGCACACACTGCGTCCAGACAAGGCTGCATCCCTCCCCGCTTCTTGGAATGATGTTGCAGGACAGGCTTGCTTGCAAACAAGGCTGCACCCTCCCCTCTCTGTGCTGGAGTACACACAAACAAGAAGTGCACACAAACCAGGCAGGTGGATACCCTTCTGATCGAGCCCCCCTTTCCGCCTGCCCCCCTGCTACCAGGATCGGCAATTCGTGCCTGAGGTGCTCCTTGACCGTGATCGAGCACGGCGAGATCGACCTCCTCGTCGGCCTGGACGTCTTGCGCGCCCACCGCTGTGAAATCAGCCTCTCCAAGAACAGAATGAAGTTTCACGCCGGAGACGGCCCGGCGAAAGAGGCGAGTGAGAGATAGCGGGGTGCAACGAATTTTTATCTGTTTTTTGCGTGGGTGGGCGCAGCGAATCAGTACCCTTGTGGTTGGGTTTTGTTCGTTCGCTTTGGGCAACTGGTCGGCGTTTTTGGTGTGACGGCGACGAGAACGGGAGAAGATGTATCCACGTCTGAGGTTAATGCAGGGTTTCGGATGGCACTTTTTTGGCAGAGAAAAGTTCCGTTGTCCGTCCGTGTTTGCGTCCTGATCCCGGCCGCACATCGAATCGAGGAGCAACGAAGGTCTGTTAATACGCATGCCTCTTCTCCATTCCCTTTGGAACAACTATTGGGTCGCATGTATCGCACGTGCCCTGACAGCCCATGTACGCTGCATTTTGTCCCTGCATGTTCCTATATGTTGTGCTACTTCTTCAACTCGAAACGTAAGCAACAAACCGTTTCTTTCGGCTCTCTCTGTATGTATCTTCTCACTCTCTCCCTCCCTCCATCCCTCCCTCCCCCTTCTCTGGCTTTCTCATGACAGCAGGTGGCTTTCCTGACTAGAATCGAGAGGGAAGGGGGCAGATGCCAGCGGCGGCGGCACAGACCGCGGCGGCGTTCCTCGGTGAGTGATTAGTATGTCAGGCTCGAGAACGGGTTTTGGTTGTCATGTCCCCAAACACTTGATCGGTTCTCCGTCTTTTGCCGTTCCTCAAGACTCATGCAGCAAAGACAATCTTCATCTTCTGGTGCTGCCTGTGGACTAACTCCCAAGCTGCTACGACAAACTGTTATGACGCGAGGGGGGGGGGGGGGGGGGGCATGCAAAGGCAAAAGGGGAGGGGAGGGGGGGTAATCAAGAA